ACTAAAACATTACCATGGCAATTCAATATCGCACAAGATTCAAGTTATCTACCATACTTTTTGTTGATAGAAAGAATACATACCTAATTTCAAAATCAATATTACTCTCGTAACTTTGGTAACCTTTATTTGAATATGGGGGAATCTGAAGTCCACCAGTCTCTAATATCCTCTTGGCAGGAGCTATTAGTTTAGGCAATGCTACAGTTATTTTCAGAAATGGTAATTTCCTATTTTCATGGAAACCATAAATACCTGATGGGAAAATAAAAGAACCGCCATATTTAAAATTGACATTTGGACAATGGAATGTTAACTCATTTGCCTCAACAAACTTGTAAATATATTTTATACAAGTCAAACCCTGTGCCTTAATAATACTAACCTTGGGCTAAAAAGTTGTGAGTTGTCGTCTGAAGATTTGAAAAAAACGCTGGCTGACTTTGTGTCACAACTACATATCCGCCCTGTATTCTTCAATCAATACGTAATTTTGGTCTTTTGCTTTTTTCTTAACAACAAATACAGGGTATGGTATAGCACACAGAGCATGCTGGCTCTGGTCTGGTACCATGTTGCCCTTACCATGATACAGTGCAAGCTGGCTCTGGTCTGGTACCATGTTGCCCTTACCATGACACAGTGCATGCTGGCTCTGGTCTGGTATCATGTTGCCCTTACCATGACACAGTGCATGCTGGCTCTGGTCTGGTACCATGTTGCCCTTACCATAACACAGTGCATGCTGGCTCTGGTCTGGTACCATGTTGTACTTACAATGACAGTGCATGCTGGCTCTGGTCTGGTACTATGTTGTCCTTACCATGACACAGTGCATGCTGGCTCTGGTCTGGTACCATGTTGCCCTTACCATGACACAGTGCATGCTGGCTCTGGTCTGGTAAAATGTTGTACTTACAATGACAGTGCATGCTGGCTCTGGTCTGGTACTATGTTGTCCTTACCATGACACACAGCATGATGGCTCTGATCTGGTAAAATGTTGTACTTACAATGACACAGTGCATGCTGGCTCTGGTCTGGTACCATGTTGCCCTCATCATAACACAGAGCATGCTGGCTCTGGGTTGGTACCATGTTGCCCTTACCATGACACAGAGCATGCTGGCTCTGGTCTGGTACCATGTTGCCCTCATCATGACACAGAGCAGGCTGGCACTGGTCTGGTAACATGTTGTACTTACAATGACACAGAGCATGCTGGCTCTGGTCTGGTATCATTTTGCCCTCACCATGATACATAGCTTGCTGGCTCTGGTCTGGTACCATGTTGTCCTCATCATGACACAGTGCATGCTGGCTCTGGTCTGGTACCATGTTGCCCTTACTATGACACAAAGCATGCTGGCTCTGGTCTGGTACCATGTTGGCCTTACCATGATACAGTGCATGCTGGCTCTGGTCTGGTACCATGTTGCTCTTACTATGACACAAAGCATGATGGCTCTGGTCTGGTAAAATGTTGTACTTACAATGACACAGTGCATGCTGGCTCTGGTCTGGTACCATGTTGCCCTCATCATAACACAGAGCATGCTGGCTCTGGTCTGGTACCATGTTGCCCTTACCATGACACAGAGCATGCTGGCTCTGGTCTGGTACCATGTTGCCCTCATCATGACACAGAGCAGGCTGGCTCTGGTCTGGTAACATGTTGTACTTACAATGACACAGTGCATGCTGGCTCTGGTCTGGTACCATGTTGCCCTTACCATGACAGTGCATGCTGGCTCTGGTCTGGTACCATGTTGCCCTTACCATAACACAGACCATGCTGGCTCTGGTATCATGTTGCCCTTACCATGACACAGTGCAAGCTGGCTCTGGTCTGGTACCATGTTGTCCTTACCATGACACAGTGCAAGCTGGCTCTGATCTGGTACCATGTTGCTCTTACTATGACACAAAGCATGATGGCTCTGGTCTGGTACCATGTTGCTCTTACCATGACACAGAGCATGATGGCTCTGGTCTGGTACCATGTTGCTCTTACCATAACACAGACCATGCTGGCTCTGGTATCATGTTGCCCTTACCATGACACAGTGCAGGCTGGCTCTGGTCTGGTACCATGTTGTCCTTACCATGACACAGTGCATGCTGGCTCTGGTCTGGTACCATGTTGTACTTACAATGACAGTGCATGCTGGCTCTGGTCTGGTAAAATGTTGTACTTACAATGACACAATGCATGCTGGCTCTGGTCTGGTACCATGTTGCCCTTACCATGACACAGAACATGCTGGCTATGCAGTGTTCTCCCCACATAGAACAAAGCATGGCGGCACCGCCATGCTTGGCGACCCGGCCGCCACGCTTGGGCTCGGACCGCCATGCTTACAACTTCACCGCCATGCTAATAGGATGCATTGTTTACGTCCATTTGATCCGCTCACACGTAGCACTGCATAAATTATCACCGTCTACGCCACGGTGGTTTGAACTTGCCAGGACAAATTAAACATTCCCATTGTTAAACACGTGTGAAGTACAGACGCTGTCAATGGGGAACAAATTGTCACTCAAGTTGCAAACACCGAGATGCTATATGACAAACATGTAAAGGAAAAAAAGGTGATGCCGCCCGGCTAAAACGTACAATCACCGCTAGCACAGCACAGAAACGGAAGCGTGTAGAAACACGGAAACGGCGTGAGGCTGGTTTTGATGAGTCGTGGAAAAAGACATTTCCTGGTTAAGGT